GGGTTTAGGATCTTCTTGGATCATAGTTGTGGTGAAAGGGCATTATATTATACGGTATTGTACAACTAGGTTTTCAAAGAACTCGCTAACGAGTGAATCAGATGAAAATAGAACACCGCAGCATGAAGGTTGTAAGCGGTTGAACATCATAAGTAGTTGTACTCCTTCTAAGGTGAAAATGAAACTATCTCTCTTTTAGCCAAGATTGCCTAATGTCTAAGATCGTTTTAATTATACTCATTTACAATCATTTTCTTACGCGATACCAAACAAACAAAACAAATAGAACAATGAACCAGATTCAGCATTTGAACTCTCGACGATCGCTATGTGTAGTGCAGTCGCAAGTAATCGTATCCAAACGCACCCTAGCCTATTCCTGATCCTATTTGATAGCCACTTGAAAATTATTAGAACATCAACTGTTTTATTCGTACATGGAAAGATTTTCCAAAAACATCATGTCATCACTAGGTCACAGAAATTCTGTGAAGATTTGATGAGAGACATCCTTTTATTTCCCTCATTCCAAGAAGAAAACCCAGTGCACTGCTCAACATCTGTTGAATTGAACAGAAATGAACAGCTTTTCTTTCAGACAAAAACGTCACTTCGAGTGACTATTCCAGCCGCCGTGGATTGTTGTGTTTTGGAAGTGAAATTGTTCATTGTTCAGTTCTGACTACTTATATATGAAGGCGCCTTTTGCCTATACGCTCACCCCTTCACAGGTGAGCCAACTCCTATCCTATCCTGTGAAACAGGATGCTCATGTTGCGTGTCATGGGTCGATCCGGGATCCGTGAGTCATGGTTGAAACTCGGTTGGATCTACTTCAGTAGGGTAATAGCGATCTAACCTCTGTCGATCAGAACTGGCATGATCAAGCATACAGGACGGTCCGAGAGGAGAGATACATTTAACGATCAACAATTTCTTATGGACTTTGAACTACAATCCGTCTAGTCCCTACACATACATAGAGAAAAAAATGGAGCCACGTTCCTCTGGTTCTGCATGCTCTGCCCACACGAGGGGAAGGAGAAGCCCCATGTCACTGACAGCTTTACTGTGCGGAATATTTGCCGCAACTTCGACACTGGTCTCCGGACAAGCGAGTGTGAATCTCCATGCTAAGATGGCGATTAACAAGAAGGAGAACACAGCAAAGATCTTAGATTATGGTCTTGCGGAAGATGAACTACTCTAGTGAAGGTACATTATTATCTCACGACAGCGTCTCCACTCTGAAGACTCTAATCTGCAGACGGCGTCAAATTAGCAGAGTTCGCCAAAACCGAAAAGCTGCACTCCAGCATCACCCTCTTTCTGGACAACATGCTGGAGCAACTGCGGAAGCTAAACGAAGCTGCTACCGTGGTCAAGGAAACGAAGAAGAAGGAGAAAGCAGTCTCCTTTACAGTGGGGAAGTACAAATTGAAGGAGTTGAAGAAGCTGCGAGCGAAACCGAGCAAGAAGAACAGTATACTTACGGCACACTTTGAAAGTCTGCAGTCAGGATTTTTTGTTTCTTCGATCTAGTCCACGCAGCGAAACCACTACCTCCAGATCCAACCTAGTATAATAGCACCCCTACCTCCTCCAGATCCAACCTATTAATACTACATTCCTACATTCCTCTGCTCTAATCACCCGGAACTAAGCGTCGAGCAGTATGAGAAGAAGTATGCGAAGAAGCTGGAGTTCTCGAAGCCGTTTTTGGTGAAGAACGGCGCGTCGTTGTTCAAGGATTTTGACCGGGCCAGGGAACAGTTCAATGCGGAAGAACTCTCCGGAAACGAATATTTGGAGAAGAATTATGAGATAAGATGATTCTTCTTTGCATCTGTCCCTTGTGTATTTACAACTGGAAAAAAGGTGAAGGGAGCAAATCTCAAGCTCTACCTACTTGTGTAAGTATTTATTTACAACTGGAAAAAAGGTGAAGGGAGCAAATCTCAAACTCAAGCTCTAAAACGGCACCGTCCTGGAATACTTCGCGCCCGACGTGCCTAGACAAAAGGTCGTCGGAAACCGCGTCTACTTCACGGAGCCGAGCCTCATTCCGTTTTCTCGCTATCTGACGAATTGTTATTTGGGAACACCAGCAGCACCTAAGATCCCAGGCCAGGCAACGGAGCACTGTGAGCACAAGATTAGCGCCAGAAAATTTGTCGAACACGAATCGGAATTGGATTTAAGGCTCTTTTCTTCAACCACGAAGATGACCATCTCAACTTCGAAGATGAGCATGACGCGTGTTACAAGGCTGTTTTAAAGTTTCAGCTGGAGGATGTTTTGGTATTAAATTGATTACTTGATGTAGAAGGCTGCCTTTCATCTTCGCAGCTCACTCACAACATCTTTCCATTCATGATCCCGTCACACTCGTCTAATTTGAGTATTCAGAACCGAACTGAAGACTTCGAAAGGACCTATTGTGGACAACGTTTTCTATGACTGGGAGAAGGCCGCTAACAAGATCTTCTTGTCTTCGAACAAGACTGAACCAGAGTTGAAGACCATGCTGGGGAAGAAAGAAGGTATCTTGTTAAGGTATATTGTTTTGATTGGACCTCGCTCATTTGGCAACGACTTTACTCAGGTCACCTGCCTAACCTAACCTGACCTAGCTGCTCCTGGCTGTTCTGGTGAACTATGACGATGTAGTTTCTCCCCACGTTGAAGGTGATGCTCGGCGTCTACCCATTCGTTCCTCCATCAAATATTATCAGTTTACAACCTGCTCCAATACGATCCTCACTACATCAGGTGCCGACTTCTTATCCGAGCAAGCAGCAGGAAACTTCCGTTATTTCGTCTTTGGGCCTTCGGGAAGCGGCAACAAATTGCAGTCCGAGAATGGACTGCCCTTTTACGACGTGCTAGTTCATGGATATCGCCGTTGGCTCTTAGTAACCGAGGAAGAGGTGCAAGCGGTAGCTGAAAAAGCAAGAGAGGCATTGGAGTTTCAGCAGACGAGCGCGTAAAACCATTAATATTAGCAGATAGGAGTCTCTTTTAGCAGATACAAGTATTTAGGAGTATACTTGATGATAATTGCCCTTTTCGCTTTTCTATCTTCCTCTGGTCTTTCTTTTTTCTAGTTAGGTCTGCTCCACCACAATTATAGCGGAATGAGGTGCAAGTAAATTCACGACAGGCATTGTGTAAGCTGCAGGTTACTTTCTCTAATCAAATACATTCATTCCCACGTGATTTCATGGTTCACGTGATGGGGTTAACATTCGGCACTGCTTTTCTCAGGTACATGTTCTTCGAAGAAAAACTTCCAGAACTGAAGGAGGAATTTGGTCTAAAGAAATACGTCGAGGTGAACCAAGAGCCCGGTGACATCATCTTTGTGCCGCCAGGTACTAGTTTATCTTCTGCAGATATTTATATTATAATAACAGTAAGTCTTCGGCCTGTCTTTGATGGTGATGTCTCTGGGGCGGATGGGACGTTCCCTCCGCCCCCATTCTCTAGGTAGCTCCAACTTTTCAGCCTTTTCACTAAAGTCTTCTGATTTCGTCGCCCTGCGTCATTCCCAAGCTCATGATCTTCAGGTTGGTTCCGAGTTTCGCTGGCATTGGCAGATAGCATTTCTTATTACGAGCAGCTCTTGTACCAACCTCCCGTTGTGGAGGCCATCGTCCGCAACACCGTCTGGAATCCAGCTTACAGACAATTCAACCTCGCTTTCTGCTATGACAAGTCGGTTGCCGTGAAGGAAATCAAGGTATTTTTGATTTTGTGCGGTTTGGTTTGCTACGTCAATTTCTGTTGTAAAAAGTTGTTTACTTATGCAGTCATTTCCTCGCGACGCGTGTCGGATACCCCACCAATGAAACTTGAAACTCCTGAAGACGAAATTCAATGTCAATCTATCGACGAAATCCACCCTTATCCCAGAAACTCGAAACCGCTTATGACCGACTAAACGAGAAGTCCTACGAATGGCTACACGAACAAGTACAGGGTGTCCAGGACTCCGATATTCCAGGTCCGGTTTTGAAGGTGTTGTCAACCTGTGCCAAGATTCTCAACTCCAAGGGCAAGATCGCGAAGTTGGTCGACTTGGAGAAGACGAAATGTTCCGAACCGGTATGGAATGCGTGCAGGGAGATTAAGGCTTCTTCGTCGATATTTATTTTACTAAAATTAATATATAACATACTGCTGGAGGAAAAATATATAACTAAATATATATCTTACCTACTATCCTTCCTTTTTCTTTTCCTAGTTAGCTTGGCTCCACCCGTATATAACATGCTGGAGGAGTGGGGCTTCGTCGATACTACTTATTACTAAAACATGGATATTACAGTGGTCAATTTAACTAGGGAAGTTGCTCCTCTGGACCCCACGTGGCAAATATAGTGGGCTAGGAAGTTCCTCCTTACTGCAACAAGATTTATTTAGCTTCCTTGACTATTTTGAAAACGAGAAAGAGAGAAGAAAAGCACTCAAGTAGCCTGAGAGGCTCAAAGAGTTGCAACGTCGAACGCGAACGAGAATAAGAGCGAGCGCTGTTTTTTGTTGTTGTTGCATTTTTTTAAGGTGTGAAAGCCTTTACGCGTGTACAGTAACCCGAGGCCATACCTGGCTCAGCCCGCCAGAGTAGCAAGCCAAGCTACGAACCCGAGAGGGCTCGCCGCTGCCGTTTCCGCCGCGAGCCCGATTCGGCCCCGTCTTGCATGCTTCGGACAAA